TGTGGTTTGCCTTTTTTTTTTGGTGATGGGATGGAAAATCCCTTCGCGCCTAGTAAGGCCCTATCCCGAGGAAGCCGCGAGCTTCCCCCGCCTATCGGCCCAAGTATTATAATATGATGCGGTCCGATCGCATTTTCGCGAGCAGGCCGCCATCCAATCGCCTACCAAAGCAGTTAATCTGAAACCAGAGGCCCCCACTCTCTGACAGCCTGCGGCCCCGTTGACGGCCTGTATCGCCGCCAACGCTCGGGATAGGTCTTCTCCCGATCCCGTTCAGTGTGCCAACATGGAAGCGGTGATTCAGAGGCCAACGGGCTGCAGTGCTGGCATTATGCCGTCTCCTTGCGTCCAATCCGATTCAGGTACTCACCGAAGCAGCCGTGCCCAATGAGTACTTACGTCCGTCGGTAGGTGACGCGGTCTCCCTTCCTATCTACCCAAGCTTAAGCAAGGTTAGACAGAATGGCGCCGACAGCGCGTTGACGCGCATTGCACGCCACTGCACCAGTGCCTGTCGGTGAGAGTTTCGCCGCATTTCGAGATCGTCCTGGTCACCGCTCTCACCCCGGCGGATCGCGAGGACTGGTCAATGTGGTTTGCCCTAGAGATACTATTACCTCTAGTTTTTTTTATTTTATAAACACCTAGAGCAAAATTTTTACTTTAAAAATAATCGCAATATTCCTGACACCGTAAATAAATTACTTTCTACTACTTTACAAATTGCAAATAAACGAAACTCAATTCAGAAACCCGAGACAATTACAGAATTTTATCGAAAAACAACAAGCAATTGTAATCCCGTAGGTGCGTGCCACGTTGTGGGGAATTAACAACTTAGATTGGCACGCTGTCGCCTCGAATACTCGGCTCTAATATGGCGAACTCTTTATCCTGACTGCCAACAATTTGTTCACACCTTCCAGTACGCTCGTACAATTAATCGTTGCACGCTCTTTAGAGGTAAATGGTTATTTTTTTTATTTTAAATTCATTGGAACACACACTTAAGGAAGGGTGATAAAAACTCTTTTGAATAGTTTTATTTACCATCCTTCAATTAATCTGGCAGAAAATTCATAAAATTTTTGTTAATAACCTACGGTTGAGACCATTTATAGATTTCTTACGAAACTAATAATTAAGTATCCCTTACCTAGAGCCCCGGAGTTTCTACAACCACTAGGATTTTTCTAAGGTATAATAAAATTTACATAAACTTTCTTAAAATTAAAATTTGCATAAACTTTGGGGTGGCATAATTTTTACATTTAGTTGTGAATATTGTGATGGTGGAAAAAATCCGTGTGGTAACAGATTAAGAATACAGAGTGTCACCACCCCTGTTCATCCCGTGAGTTTCGTAAGAGGCGACGAAGGGAGCGACCTACGCAGGACAACACCACTGCAAAGAGAAGAAAAACTCGAAACAAATCCTATACCAACTCGTCTCGCCAACATGGTATAGTAGGCCAAAAGCGACTTAGGACAGGTATATGTCCAGTAGTGACTATTAAAGTCTGTTGATGATGATGATGTGAAAATTAGTTGTTCTAGAAATATCCGAATATTGATTTGGCCGAATAATTACGTTAAGTCTTTGTATGCATAGAACTTTAAAACTACGCATACGGATCTTAATGTGCTTTAATGAATAAAGAGAGTGATTCAAGAGGAAGGTTTATATTAATAATAAATGCATGTTATAGTGAAACAAATCCGAGAATTTCAAATATTTATAATGCAATGTCATACATTGCACCCGTGCTAGTCAGGGCGGATAGCTAGTACGCGATAAGACAGTTTTAAATTACCAACGAGCTTAAGATTCTTTGAGCACCATCCTATAATATATTCTTATTTAAGAGCAAACTGCATTCATTTAAATTAGTCAATTTATAATCATGTAAATGCTCAACACCTGGCTCTAAGTCTGCTCATCATATCCTCTGGGAATGTAGTCTTTGCTACAATGAACGTAATATAATGCTCAATAGCTTACAGGTGACATCTGGAGTGGTATACTATGAGTACCTTGTGTCGGTGATTCTGCCATACATATTATAGAAGTTAAATATCTCACTCACTTATGACCCATAATATTGTAATTCTTTGGTGCTTACCTGTTTAAAAGGAGGTGTGTTTATTTTTACTTCATTTTGTCCCCCGCTTCGCTTGGGAGGGAAGTGGATTTCTTTTATTTCCAAGTCGTCCAATGTTCTTTTGATTGATTTCGTTGCGAGTTCCAAGACAGTTTATTTTTTCCTGTCACTTCCCGAGTGTCCTGAAACCAAAAAAAAAACTGCGCAATGGATGTCTAGATTCGAAGATTCGCAGACAAAAGTAAAGAAGGGCAGAAGTCAAGGGAGAAAGTTAATCACTCGATTCTTTTGACAGACGGGTCATTTCGCAACAGCCATTCTAGAAGATAAAAGTACTATTTCTGCAGATTGGTATGTCAGTCATTATCTACCAGTTGTCTTGGAAAATGTTAGACAGCAGCGCCTAAGAAGCAGGAGCTGGCGAGTCATCCTCCTTACAGTTCCCACCTGTTCACCTTGTGACTTATTTATTTCAAAAAATAAAAGATAGAAAATAGAGTGGGAACCCTGAAAATGGCGTATGTCTGCGTTTGAAAAAGGCGTGGAAGATCCCCATGAGCGACGGTTTCTACTTAGCATTGGTGGCTGTCTGCTCGTTTGTCCCCAATGCCATAAAAAAAAGCCGTGTGGTGTCGTGGGTCACCCGATAGGAACGAAGTTGTGACGATCGAGTAAAACTGATTTGACACGATTTTAATTACAACGCCATCTATGCAAGCGGCTATTACCTACATATTAAAAACAATTATTTATTTATTTATTTAATTGCCTTGCGAAATGATTTCCTATCTATTCGATAGATGGCGCTGAATGTCTGACAAGATGACACGAAAATAAAGAGCAAAAAGCCAACATCACGTGGTATTCCCAGGCGGTCACCCATCCAAGTACTAACCACGCCCGATGTTGCTTAACTTCGGTGATCGGACGAGAACCGGTGTATTCAACATGGTATGGACGTTGGCGAACGTTAAAGCAAATTTAATGTATGGTATCTACAGTTAGACGTCAATTTATATTAATAAAAAAGTGTCGTTCCAAATTTTCGTACGATTTTTTTCCGTCTAGCCCCCTTTCACAACGCGCGATAAGGAACTTCGTTCCAATAACAAATAAATAGGTTCAAGATCGCTCAATCCAATTTCCAAATCCCGGCACTGCAAAGAAGGAATTTGGATTTCCGTATTTGTCATGACATTATGGTAGACCTATATAACCTGTATAATCAAAGAAAAATATTTAGCAACTGAACACGCGTTTTTAGTCCATCCTTGGTGTATCCATAGAGATTTAAGTATAGAGAGAACACGGGACACAGCTGCCTGTAAGTGGAACCGATACAGGTAACGAGAGAGATGTATGCCCGATATTTCGCTCTGTCTCTGTTCAGCTCTCTGTTTAGATAAGCTACGATTGGCTACTTATGAACCCCTCATTTTCCTCAGTAGTGGCGGATTTACATGTTTGCCGCCTGTAGGCTATTAAATTTTTGCCACCCCTACTAACCTCTGCAATTCAATACAATATTCAATTTTACGTGTGAAACCCCCTCGGGTCGTCAAACTGGGTTTTGCGGATAGGCGGTGTGTCGGAATTGAACCATAAGGCGTACTACTCTGTGCCTGAAATAGGAGGGATCCGGCATACCTGCCAGCATACCTGCCTGGTAAATCCGCCACTGTTACTCAGTCAATCACAGACCTCGACTAGAAAGAGATAGAGAGGACTATCTATAATTAATCTCTCTCGTTGCCAATATTGCAAGATTGGGGCTCTTGTTCTCTCTAGGTTATATCTCTATGGTTTATCCATTCACTCCGCACCATGGCCGCAGTCATGTTACTGAGCGAGAGAACTCCCACCTTTCTGGCCGCTACGAGGCCACGCTTTTACTCCACCCACGCCGGGCATTCTGCCAGCGTGAGGAGCGCCGTGTCCACCGTTCGATTGCTACAGTGGTGGCACTCAGGCGTTGGCTCCTTGCCGATCAGACACAGGAGATCCCCGAAGCATCCTTTCCCAGTAGTCACCTACGTCAACCGGTATGAGAGGGTCCCGTTATGCCTTTCGAGCCGATCCTCCATAATGGGTCTTATCGCCGCAATAACGGCCGTAACGTGCCCGATATATTCAACGACCTACATGAACTTTAGCCGAACCTTGGTCTGATTTGATGATGATAGGTAGAACGGACCAATTGATACGATGCTGCATTATGTCATGTTAACAGACAGACAGAACATAGTAGAGAAAATGCATTGATTTCTTGGCATGTCAGCATGTCAGAAAGAAGATTCAAACAATCGTTGAGGTGTTAAATGAGGCGATAAAAGGAATGCCAAAGACATAAATAAAATCTTAGGTTTTGATAACCAATAATACTTTTCAGGATTTATATAAGCCTTAACGGGAGCTAAATCTCTTGATGAATTAATGTTCTTATTTCGTGAACGATAGTCTTTCAGATAATATATTAAGTATCATGTGAAAAAAGTTTCACAAGAAAATCACACACCATAAAGGTTTTATGTAAATTCAAAGTATCTATTACCATACAACAGCAATTTCATAATTTCACCCCTATTATAATAAGTTTTGTGACCTGGTATAATGTTATTGCCATCTCTTAAGAATCGGATATTGTAACAATCGTTTTTTTACTCATCCTTATTCTTCAATCTGTCAGAACTGTCAAACGGTACCTCTTAGAGTAGATGGACTATAGATTATTTTTACTATAGCAATCTAAATATAACCTAGAAGTTTATCATTTACTCAATAAATATTATTGTGATAAAACTAGAGAATATTACTTACTTATACCAAGTTTTAATAAAAAATTGATTCTACCTCGAACACACGTTCAACTAGAGTGGTCTTAATACACTTTGGGCAAAGATGCAGTTCCAACTTGCTCAGTCATCAATCATCTGTTTGTATTTATCAGGATTATTTAAATATGCGGTAAGTTTAAAGCACATTTACGCATAAATACACCAACTGAAATTACCGGAAAGTTTATCATTTTGAAATTATTGTATCTACAGAGTATCGATGACGAGATGTCAAAATTAATAAGAACTCATTATTAATGTTCATTTTACAGTCCTGTATTGACTATGACGGGTGGTTAAACATCAAAATAGAGCACTCAATTAATTGCAAAAGTGAAAAATACTGTTCGAGAGGCAATATTTCACTAAAGAGTATTCGTGCAGGTGCAGGGGCAATAATAGATCAAGAACCACTTAGTAAAGACCATATCAAAGAGTTAAAGGTATGTGAAGTTTTAAACTCAAATAAACTTTTCTATTGTGATTTATCAAATCAAGTTAATGATTTCTTTATATAATGAGAATAAAAATGCTTTTGATTTTATATTAATACATTAGCTATTAATCAGTAATAGAACTGTTACATGAAAATTTCCTGCCCAGCTCTATTATATTTTAGATATTCATATACACCCTGAAATGTACTTGAACAAGGTGAAATAATGAGATCAATTTAAAAGTAAATTTGAAACCTGTAACACCTTCCCTGTGGCCAAAAATACAACATGTTTGTATTTTTAATTGTAGATAGAAAATATATATGTATTTTATTAGCACTGGAAAAAGTTTTTATGAACACAGACCATGTGTCCCACACATTTGCTTTAGGGAATTTTTTAACAACTATTCATAAAATTTTTAAACAAGCTAACACTCCTTATATATCTCCCAGCAGGAGCTAATTTAAAAATAAACGTACATGATAATGTATTACACCATAGTAAAAAATGGTGCTTTTTTTCAGGACTTGGCTGAAATTGATGGGTTTTACACAGTGAGGACAGTAGTCACATCTGGAGAAAACAGTAAAGGAACAGAATTCCTCTCATCAGTGAAAGCTGGTTCTTTTCTGGCCAATGATTTCTCTGATGTGATAAATGCTTGGGTACTACCTAATGGAGCTGTAATTGCTGTCAGTTTTCAAGTTAATAACTCTTCTCAACTTTTACAAAAACAGAGCAATGGCCACAAAATAAATTCTAGCTTCTATCTTCGTTATGTTGAGCAGGCTCCAGTGTATGTATACTTAAACATTATGAAAAAACTATTTTCAAAACTAAATACTAAAGCCAAAAATTAACTGTATAAACATAGGTATGCATTTAAATATGTGACATTTCAGTTGAATATATTTCTTTATGCAATTTCAATTAAGTGTGTACTACTAGTAGAACTCACGGCGCCGTGGGAAACTAACAACCCTGAAGACCATGCTTTAAAAAGAAACAACTACTTTGACTTAACCATTGAAATAGCTAAAAATGGTTATGTTGTTGCGTTGTATGCCGTGGAAGTGGGTGTGAGGGGTATACCAGTTAAATCCCTCTATAATGTGCTTTAAGACCTTAGATTGCCAAGAGCTTCAGTAAGGTGTTTTCTTGAATGAATATCCAAAGTAGCATTTCTAGGCTCATATCAAATATGGTTAGGTAAAGTGTTTAACACAGCAGACAGTGGAGTAAGCGCTGTCACGTTGCAAGCAGTACTCTCTTAACCTATACCTGAAATGCAATCCCAGGCGCTGTCGAAGTTGCATGTGTTGCCTCATCTATTACGCGATGAACCCGGCACCCGCTTGAATCCATGGAATGCTAAGAAATAGGTCTCCAAATTAATTCTATAAAAAAGTAAAAAAGTAGGTATATCTATACCCAGAAATGTAAACAGCAATGGTAATTTTTACATTGTATATATATAAAATTATCCTGTCACAATGTTAGTTACCATACTCCTTCGAAACGGCTGGACTGATTTTTATGAAATTTTGTGTGCACATCAGGTAGGTCTGAGAATCGGCCAACATCTATTTTTCATACCCCTAAATGACAAGGGTCTAAATTTCTTTTTTTCTATATTTTTCTTCTTTTCCTAGAAATAATGTATATGGCAAAAAAACGTTTGCCGGGTCAGCTAGTTGTATATATAATCTAAAAAGAGATAGCTTTAACAACTTCACCAGAAATTGACATACCTTAAAATATTGATTATGATGATTAGGATATGTTGTTGTTAAATGTTTGAGTATCCTTAAAACTACATAACCACATACAAAATAATTTTTGATAACTTAACTGAATGCTTAGAAAAATAATTAAACTTTTATTTAAAAACTAAAATTAACTATAATTCTAATAAATTATGTATGTTCATATTTTAAAGAATATTTTTAGTTTATTAAAGAAGTGGGCATAAAAACTGTTATAATTAGACTAGAAAAATGTTGCTATACTTTCACAATTAAGTTAACTATGTCAGATACGTGAGGCATACTGAAAGTCTCTGGATCAGGCCACTTATAATAAAAGAATGAAAGAACAATTATGGAATTCGAAAATGGAACTCTTTGGGAACATGTTATTTTGCGAGATTTTGTTCATTCTAACTTCCTTTCGAAAATTGTGTGTCGCTATCAAAATTAATTTAACTCGTGAAGATTTTCGTTAAGGTTTTTTATGATTTCCATTGTGGCATAAGTCAACAAGAGGGTTGCCAGAGACTTCAATTGGCATTAAGTGATGAAACACCATGTCGCAGCTCTGTGTATTCGTGGTTTGGAGAATTTAGACGTAGACGTGATCATCTCCATGACGAGGTACGTGAAAGTCGGCCGGCGACTGCTGTTACAGAAATAATCTAATATTAAAACCGTACGACAAGTTATTGAAACTGACAAAAAATTACTTGCCAGCAAATTCGTGTTTTGTAAGACATTGGAATGAACCAACTGCCAAACATTTTACATGTCCATCTGAAGGTTCAGCAGCTTTGCACTCAATGGATACCGCATTATTTAACTTTTACAGTAATTTTTATGATTTTTCTAAGGGTTTATACCAGAAATAAATGATTATTATTATTATGAATTTAAGACTGGTCCAACTGCTTCGTACAGTAGTTTCAGCAAATGCAAAAATGCATTAATTGTGAGGAAATATACTTTGAAAACCAATAAATGTATCTTATATCCAGTCCTCTTTATCAGAATCCAGAAACTTTCAGTATGCCCTAAGTAACAATAAAAATGATGTAGTTATTATAACATTCATTTATAATATCCTTGTTTTTGTTTACAGGCCTGACACAGCTTCATACATTCAAAAATTGGAACGTGAAAAGGAAGCTAGAGAAAAAGGGGAATTGAAGGACAACAGGTCCTTTCTAGCCAAATATGTAAGTACAAATTATTTGAAAGATTAGAGAATAGAAGTTTGAAAAAGAATTTAGATTAAATAATTTCTTTTGTTTTAGTGGATGTACATAGTACCTATTGCAATATTCGTTATGATCTCTGGAGCAGCCAATCCAGAACCAGCTGCTCAAGGCGCTCGATAATACAGAAGCTACTGTTTTAATAATAGGCAAATGTATTTATTCCAAATAGAATCACATGTATGTTTACACAATGTAACATAATGACCTGCTACGTTTTATTGTAACATACAATAAAATATTTGTTGATTCAAATTATTTTATTTAATGGGAGTTTCCTGTTTCTATTTACCTTATGTTACGGTTGTTCTGCAATATTGTACCTAATAAAATAATGAACGCTTAAAACATTTTGTAAAACTGTTTCAATGTTGTGTTACTTCCATTTACCCTTAGTTTAACATGGTTCTGACTGCACGGATAGCATAGTGGTTTAAGTGATCACCTCGCAGCTTCCTACTGCACTGAGTGTTGTGGGTTCGATCCCCACATGGGACAACACTTTGTGTGATTCACAACTCGTTGGTCTGAGTCTGGATGTTCTATATTCGTTTCATATATGTTTGTGAAGTCCCCAGCGACACAGGATATATTCCTAGTGCGCATCTTGGTCCTCATACATGACGGTATGTTCCTCTAAATATTCTGCCACTAGGCACCTCAGGTACTCAGGCACCAAGTGATAATGGAGTGCCTAGGGTAATCTCCGGACACCAAGCTAGCGTCGAACACTGGGGGCAGTGTTCTTGGAACGGATCCGTAGCCGCCCTCTACGGAATATCATTCATGTTATTCCCGTCGTTTTTGGACAAAGAGGCCATCCACAGGGGCGTGTATTCCACCCGGGAAAAGACCATTAACCACTTCCTACAGGAAGCTGGGCTGGAGAGTCTGAAAGGGGGGCACGCAAACTTTAATCAATGCTGTACTGCAATTTTTCGTTCCATTTGCCTATCTGAGACTTCCTAGTACGAGACTAGGTGTCCTTTATCCTAACCTACTGTCCGTTACCCTAAACCGTAACTTAACCCTTAATAGTTCTTGCTTTATCCTGCCTGAAAATGATTACATTCCCAAAAAGGATATAATTTACGTCCTACATACGTAATAAGGGGTCAAGCCTATTGCCTTCAATGTGGGTTTCCGTGTGGTGATGGATTAAGAATAGTGTCACCACCACTTTATCATGTGGGTATAATAAGAGCCGACTATTTAAGGGAACCAACTACGCAGGACAATAACACTGCAAAGAAGGAAAACTTGAAACATACCCTTTACCTACATATCATCACCATATATTAGGCCAAAACCTCCTCTAAGGAGAGGTCCATGTCCAGCAGTGTACTAGTAAAGGCTGTTGAGCCCATCAACAGCCTTTCTCTCTAGGAATTAGATGGAAAAACTGTTAGTATATTGATAGGACAAGTAGTTTCGTAGGGAAGGCAATGGTAGAAATGAGTCATTGCTGGCTGGTTTGGGGAAAAGTATGAAAATCATTTGGTTCTGCAGTAAACGATTTTTGCAAAATAAACAAATATAAGATATTTAATGAAAGCAGACCTATGAAGTATCAAGAACTTAGTGTGGTGCCATGTAAAACACAAAAGTAAAGGCAGATTAAATTTACCCACATTTATTTGCTAGAATTTCTTCTACCAAATTCTGGAAATAGATGTCCATTGGAAAATAAACAAAAGATGAAATACAAAAATTATTATTTCTAATTTGAATTATACATGGTACAGCTTAACACTTAAAAGTAATCTTTAGAAGTAAGGAAGATTATTTTTATGCACCAATCTTTTCAATTTCTTCAGCATCTTCAATATCAAGAAGTTGTATCTTTTTGCCAAAGTGGCTTTCAATTTCTTTGCAAATATCCATTGCTTGAGTTGAATCCACTAAATTAATTGCAATACCAGCTTTACCAAATCGCCCAGTTCGTCCTATTCTGTGTAGGTACGTTTCACAGTCAGCTTTCTTGTCCATATCCATTGGCATATCAAAATTAACCACTAAAGTGACTTGTTCTACATCTATACCTCTGGACAATACATTGGTAGTAATCAGAACTTTCTCGAGGCCAGCTCTAAAACGATCAAGTACTGCTATTCTCTGGTCTACAGTTAATTCCCCAGACAATACAGCCACTGAATGTCCATCCTTCGACATTTTTTCTGACAACCAACTAGCAGTTTTTCTTGTATGACAAAATATAATTGCTTGACCGATAGTTATTACTCCATAGATATTACAAATAGCTCTATATTTCTCTTCAGGACTTTTGCATTTTACATAGTATTGCTTAATATTATCCAATGATTCTTCTTCTCTAAGCAATCTAATAATGATAGGATTAGGAACAATTACTTCAGCAAACTCCATCACATTGGCGCCATATGTGGCAGAAAAGAACATCATCTGGCATGTTGTTGGCAAACATTTGTGTATACGAATACACTGATCCTGATGCCCTTGTCTATCAATCATAACATCAGCTTCGTCAAGAACAAATACTTTGATTTTACTCATGTCGAACATACCAAATTTTACACCCCAATCAAGCATTTTTCCAGGGGTTCCAATAACAATATGATCTGTGAGCTTAGTACCCCTAGGTACCTCCTCACCTCTTACGGCATATTTCAGTTTAATTTCTGGACAGAATTTTGCCATTTTGGCTGCAACCTCTCCTGTTTGTATAGCAAGTTCATATGTGGGACTCAAACAGAGCACTTGAGGGTAATTCTTTGTGGGATCTACTCTAGTTAACATTGCTAATACAAATGCAGCAGTCTTACCTGTTCCTGACTGAGATTGTGCAATCATGTTCTGTGGTGGATCAGCTAAGAGTGTAGGCAAAGCCGTTTCTTGGATTTTAGAAGGAGCATTAAAACCCATTGCATAGACGCCTTTTAGTAAATTAGGCTTCAAATGTAATGCTTCAAATGTTTTGACAGAATACAGAGGAGAATTGGGATCTTTTCTTTGAATTTCAATATCTAACTTAGATTCAACTAAGCCCTGTCTTATAATTTTCATCAAGAGAGATGCATCGGCAGGATTTGGAGTATCAGGGGATTCCTCAGAGTCATCTGTTTGGTTAAGATCTTTTTTTAAACCTAATCCTGCTATTTTATTTGTCACCTCTAACTCCTCTGCCTTTTGTCCCCACTGTTTAGCCATTATTTATTCTGAAATTAGAAAAATATTACATATTTAGACTAAAATTTTGTCAACAGAAGGCTTTTAAGTTTTTCTAATAAAATAAAGTGCATTATGTGTTGCCACTATTGTAATATTCTTGCATTCACACATCATAATCATTAGCCCAACTTTATTTTGGGTGTCTATGATTTCTTTTCCCTTCCGAGTCATGTTTTATACCTAATTCATCTTGATGACTAATTGTTAGTGCTACTTGCTGGCCCCCCTTTTTTTCATTCACGTGGCATCTTTTATCTGTATTTAAATGCATAACTCCTAGGGTGTAAAGATTTATACAACATTACTAAATGAATATTATAAATGAAAGAAAAACATTTAATTTCTAATTTTGCAAAAACGTCAATCACTTTTTCAAGAGTATTAAACGGCATACTATTGCATAAGTGCATAAAGATTTAGAAATGAACAGGACATATGATTCAGAAATCGAAAGTCACGTAAACTGGCTACATAAGTTTTCTGGTAAGATTGTCCGTGCATGGCGTTCTTTATCCAATATGTATCATTATCATTGAAAAACTTATAGCTGCAAAAGATCCCAATAAATGAATATATTCTTACCTGGTTTATCTTCAATGAAAATAAATAAACTTCAGCCAACAGTACCATCAAAAAACTTTACACACCGACGCAAATGACAGCCGCGGTAATTGGTCATTGTCAAAATCTTACCATAGCCAAGACCAGGGATTGCCCCGGATGTTAGATTGTGGTGAGCCGAAGCTGGTATAGAAAAGTTGGTGCACTCACAATAACGTAATATTAATAAAAATATTTTTTTTATTTTGGACGTTCTTTTAAATGAAATTTTTGAATTATCGAAGAAATTCTTGATTATTTAGAAAAAAAAATCATACCTTATAAAAAAATTAACAATAATAGATATTATTAATATTTTAACTACATAATAAAGATTATTCTCATTATTCGTTGACGTTTTTATTATTAGATCTTATAAATAGCAATACATAATTGAAAAAAATAAAATACTGACCAACCTTGAGTTACATTGAAGAATTTCGATGCCCAAAGACTTTACAACAGATGACTAATTAATTTGATCACGTGTACGCTCGAAGTATGTTTGTGTCAGGCCACCCAAGAAGCCCGATCTTAAGTACGAGGTCATTAATACTACCTTTAAAGAACGCGACCGTTAGATTCACGGCAAACGAGACTTCAGGTTATAATAGCTATGAGCAGGACCGGATCGTAAATTTTTGGGGCATGGGCTAATGCTACCTATTACAATTTTTTGCTAACGGGGTGGAAAATCCTATATAATCTATTTATTGGTATATTTGAGCTTCTTGTGGTTGTTTTCTAATAGACCACAAATTTAAAAAAATCTTGTTAAGTGTATAAATAAATCGTAGTTATTTTATGAGTGGAATACAATTTTATTAAGTTTGGCTCCTATACGCCTCCATGACACACTCGTAAAATAGCTAACCAATTGGATGTAAACTAAAATGCAGCTGTACGGCTAAAAGTCGATAGATTTGTCTTGCCAACTCGGTTTAACCTAATTTATTGCAAAAGGGAATTCCCCTACCATAAATAATAACACACATTGTTTTAGTTTATTCTATTTTTCCCGCTCACAATTAATAAGAGTAAGAGGTCAACAATTAAGTTAGCACACTGTTTTGAATGAAATGAAAGAATAAAACCATTTCGTTGCGTCCATCACAGTTTCGTTGTTGTTTGCATAGTTGAAAGTTGATATCATAAGTTCTTATGATATGAGTTGAAATTAAAGAATCATGAATCATGGAAGCTCCGTTAAAATTCCCAGGAGTTTAAAAATTGGTTAAAACCTGTACTGGGTGACTCCACGAAAGTATTTTGTAGCTATTGCCACTCAGAAATGTTTGCAAAACTGAACGATTTTAAGAAGCATTTAGAAAATAAAAACCATAAAGCTAAAAGTAATTTGATTTAATCAAATGACATTATTTACAGGACCAGGGAAGATTTGTAAGCCTCCAGCAAGAGCTAAGTGTACCTTGGATTTGTATATTGCAGAACAGCACGACTGCAGCTATGTATTGGTGGTTAAATGCGAACTTATTTCCGATTTTCCGATTGGCGACTTTTAACGGATGTTAGGCGAACGGTCTTTTTCTAATCTAGAGGAATTTTGAAAACCAGTTAGCAACTTTTATTTTTATTCAACGGCAACACTGAGTGGCAGTCTCACGTCATTTCATTTTGACAGGTAGACAGACTTAGGTAGTCTATCACATAACCTTAATTTCGTTGTTTAAAAAAGTAATACGAAAGAATTGTTATACACAATATATTTAAAAAAAACCTAATTGCAATATGTTACGCAATTGTCGCCGATTTATTTTAAAAAATAATGCGTTTCCAAGCGTTGTACAAAGAAATACTTTTTTAACTAACGATTACCAGTGCACGGAAGCTTGGAATAATTTAAACTCTAAAGCGATTATTAATAAAATAAACGTTCAGGATTTCTATAATGCCGTAGACCAAAACCATGCATTAAAAGGAGTTGTAAGCGCTATAGATGTAGACATATTTGCCCATGCCATAAAAGACTCCAGTCACATAGAAGAACTTAAAGATCTCTTACATAAACTCCGACTTTCAGCTGAGACAGGTAACATGCTAGAGTCGACACAACACGCTACGATTCGTAAGTATCTGCAATTTGGTGATATAACGGAACTAGTAGGGATATTACGAGATCCTCTCAATTTCGGAGTATTCCTGGATGATTACAGTGCTAACATATTACTAAATAAATTGATAACATCATCAGACTTTGATTTGGCAGCTAGAGTAGCTTCTCTTATAATGTTACAAGAAGAATATAGCAATGAGATAACATGCACACTCTGTCAATATGCTTGTTACAAATATATACTTAGTTATACTCCAGAACCATCACCACCATCACCACCATCAGAGAAGAACAAAAAGGTTGAAGAAATTAAGATTAGAGTAAAATATTTAAGAAATCCATATTTTGATGATCACTTTGACATTAAAGATAACTTTACATTATCAGGCAAGACTTTAGCTTGGATGTCAGAGACAGCTTCAAATAATCTCAATAATAATTTACAAATAATTGGTTGGCTTATTTACAAAAAATATGACAAATTGGTGTCTCTTTGTGAGAGTCTGAGTAACACAAAAACATTTAAAATTTACAAAGAAGTTTTAGAACAATTACAAAAAGAAACTGCTAATGCAGATGCAGAGTCAAAACCAGTATTAGAAAATTGTTATTCTGTGTTAAGTAAAGTGAAGCACAAAGCTGATAACACATTAGAGGAATCAATCAAAATAGCAATAGAAAATGCTATTAACAAGTTACAAAAATATGATATAGAACAACAAGAAAAGGTAAATATTTTTTCTTTTATTTTCTTGTATTCTCTGTAGTCCTAATGGCTGAGGGCCAAAGTTTAATCATTTATTTACGTGTGAATCCAAATTATGAAGCTGTTTGTACATAGATATATGCATAGTCATTTGGGGCTTCCAAATTTGTCCATTCATAATGTTGTGTGTAAACAGAGATTTAATCATAGTAAATAAAATTAATCATCATCATCTAATAGCAACTGCATATTTACATGTAGGTCATTTTTGTAATTCCTTCTTTAGTCACACTGCTCTCTCAGTCTCTAGAGGTCCTTGCATTTTTGCCATAAGTGTACAACTGAACTTTACTTTTACAGTTGTTCAAATCATGGGCGCAAATAAGAGAAGAAAAACTAGAAGAACAAACTAAACGTTTGGATAGAGCACGCCGCATACAGCTCATTGAAGAAAAACAAAAGGTAATGAAAGAACAAGAACAGAAACTGTGGTTCTTTGAAAATGAAGACCAAATTGATCTTCAGATAGAAGAAAAGAGCAACTTGTTGACAAAACTGTCGAAAAGAAAAAAAGCACTAAATCTTTAGATGAAAATTATATACCACCTGAAATCCTCCCAAAGCGCAAATAATCTTAATGAAAAAGTAAACAATAAAATTTTATTATAAAACCAGTAATTCTTTTATTATATAACCAGATGTTACAAGGCATCCTCATATTTCCTTGAGGAAGATTTCAAACCTTTTTTCTACCTACATTTGATTTCACCACAATTACATTTCTACCTTATGTAGACTGGCGTTATACTATTTAAATGTATAATAATATGGTATTGTTGCGCCTACATAATTTAATAGTTTGTAAGTTAAAATCAGATTGTGTGGGAACTTCGACTACAAAGTAAAAATGGGAGACAAATTAAAAAAAACTCAAATTAAGTAATTACACACATATACCATCTGTGCCTATTGTTACAAAAACAAACACAATACTTATATCATTTATTACGTAATAAATAATGGAACATAGACACATAATATTCAGCTTTATAGATTTATAATGGATTCCTCCTTATAGAGAATGTTGCTTGACTAATATAAATGCAAATTTTTATTTGACTAGATTTATCGTTCCTCCTGCATTTTTGCGAGATCCATTTGTATTTTTGTTAATGTATCTTCAGTTCTCTTGGCAGTTTCAGTCTTGATGTTTTCTTCTACATCAACAATGTCCCTCGCCAAAGTGCCAGTATCGTTTACAAGTGAAACAATTGTATTACACTCTGAGTGTAACAAAGCCAAAAGTTTGTACGCCTTCTTTGCCTGATCATCTTTCTTGGCATCCTTATATAAAAATTATTGTTAATACATATATTTTCAGACATCTAACAGAACGCCATCTAGTTTCAAACTAAGCAGATCTTGTACTATGAAAGCTATATTGACTGATAGAATACTTATATACTTTTTTTCGTGAATACATATTATACATAGAAAACACCCAAACTCCGAAACAAATATTCGTGGATCATGCAAACACTTGGTCCGACCCCGGGAATCGAACCCGAGACAGCAGTCCCATATGCTACCACTGCAACACCGAGGCAGTGTCTTGTCCAATTGATTAATGAATAAGTACTGTAAAATCTTACCCTGAAGAGAGTCTCATCCGCTATAGAGAAGCACCTATCAAGTTGTCCTTCTAAATTGTTAATATCTTTCTGTAGTTGTCTAGTATCATCTAAAATTTTCTGGATCTCCATGTTTTGTTTGTCAACATTGCTTATTATTTCCAAAATTCGTTTTGTGTATATTGATCTGAAAATATTATCAATTTAGTCTATGAATGATTATAATCCATGTAATTAAGCAAGTCTAAAAATGTTTATCTTGACCATTTTTAAAAGTCAAATTAGCGTAAATTCGATTAAATAATAATAAAACTGTATAATTAATTATTCATCACATCCTTTACTAATAATATTAGTTTTATATAAGAAAGTGTAACATTGTAAGTATTCTGTTATTGTTATAATATACCCACAAGTTCAATATAGAACATAATCTTCTTTATAAATCGGTAAGCGTAACTTTAAAACTGCTTTTGTTGAAACTCCCATGGGTATCGATATCACCTACCGGAGCTCAATGAAGTGGAATGTTAGCCTCACTTGCGTGACATTGCAGGATTTAAAGAGGTAAGAGGCAACCTCATTGTTAAACCCAGGACGGGCGGGTATTGGCCCTCTCCTATTCCCTTTCCGTTTCACTTCCTCAGATAAAGCCTTTTAAAAAAAAAGTGAAGTCCAAAGAGAGGGGGAGGCCACCTAATGTACTTCGCGAGGGAGTCCAACAATCCCAAGGTGGCGTTAGGTTTCTGGTAAATATGTCTTTCTGACAACGTTGTTTAAATTTCCAGTGTGTCGAACAGGGTAGCGCACCTCATTATCAAGGTAGAGCGAGAGGTATAGCCTCAAGGTTGTGCAAGTGTACGCATCGAGCTCGGCACACTCGTACGCCGAGGTGGAGGTACGCCTTCGATAAGTACGATGACATATCGAAGGCCCTCCACTTCGCAACTAAGACCCACTACAACGTTTTTATGTGGGTCCAATGTGTCCGTCCAAGTACAGGATCAGCAACAAGGCCCATACCCGTTGCTTTGAGGAGTGAGACAAGGGGACGTTATTTCGCCGAAATTGTTCACAAATGCAATGGAGGACATGTTCAAGATGCTGCATTGGAAAGGGGCGTACAGTAAAAAATTAAGAATTCAATATAACTCTTAATATTTTTTTAAATTTTTAGTGCTCTTTGTCAGTACTGTTTGAAGTCGGTTCAACTTTTTTTTTAAAGGATTTATTTTACCATTTTTAGTGTAAGATAGGTTTGTAATGAGTAGATAAGTACGATATTTAAAACACCACGTACCGCAATGTATAGTACCAAACTGTAGAATGTTGATTCTTTTTCTGTTATATTTATTATTTCTAGGAAATATTTTTTTTAGTTCAATAAAAAGTTGAAAATTTGAATTTGTATGTATTTTTCAATGCTAAATCATAATAAAATAAAAATAATTTCAAAAGAATAAAAATATATATATGGCGGGAGTCACCCTTTTCATGAAAAATAGATGTTGGCCGATTCTTAGACCTGAGAATATGAGAATTTTATATATTAGAGATAGTTTAATAATTCCGTTACTTTATTTAGATATGGTAGTAAGATGTGTATGGTACATTTGACCCGAAAATATATTGTTTTCCATATTACTTAATTTGGCAAAACTAGTAGTGGTATTTTTTCTTTCCATTTGAATGGAACGAAGGAAGCTAGGGGAGCTTCTGGAGCCGGGAACTGAGCGGGCTTCCGCTCAGATTTATCAACGATCGATCATATACATACTAAGAAAATAGTACTTAAAAAGAGTTTTGAGGTAACTAACAAAAATAAAAATTGTCTTAGTAAATGTTTTGTGATCTCCATGGACGTATGAAAAAAGTCGGACAAAGTCTCGCTAACATAAAACTAATTCACTCGGTCAACTCGCTGTACGAACAGGCCGGTACGCACACTCACACTCGTTAGTCGGGCATTACGCTCGCAAACATCAAGACAGCGAGACGCATTACGCGTCGAAAACATATAAATATACAACATATTTTGCGTAGTTAATTGCTGTAAAAACCGTACTGACCGAAAGAGAAATGATCCGGGAATCACGTTTCATAAGTATGAATAATTCAATCACTTATTTCCAGATTTTATACATTAAAATTAATCAGCATTCGCTAGAACAAAATAATTCATTATAAGCCCAATGTTGTCAATTTTCACGTGTACAAATTACCCAAAACAAAGAGATTTTTGGTTGTTTTTAAAATTAAGTTGATTTTAAGGTTATTTATTTAATAGGTACCACTATTTCATATTCTTTTACTAAATTTTCAAATGAAAATAGAGTAGGATTGGATGCAAATAATTTGAAATTGTGATGGTGAAAATAAATACAAGATAAATATATGCTTACCAAAATTTTTTAAACTTAAAATCTGAACATACTTTCGTCAGAATAGAACACAAAATAAGTCTAATTAGATATGTATTCTGTCTGTCTGATCGATTTCACCACATCTCGAAATTAGAGGAAATTTCAAGTATCTCTCAAAGTAAATTATTATAAAATGCCGCCATTACGGTGCCTCAGTTTTGTGTTAGCAAGAGTTTTTTATACATCCATGGTTATCTCATATATTATTATTTTGTGCTCATATCTCTGTAACGCAACACAAACACCTAACAAATATCTTGAAAGAAAAAAACAAGGTTAATACATCATTCGATTTTTTGAGAGTTATCCTCTAACTCCTAAAGGTAAAGGAACCTTCCATCATCAGTTCAGCGACATGACATAACGACTACTAAACGCAAATACGCTAAAACGGGGCTGTAAAATTTGAGGGTTTGCCTCGATTTTTCTAGAATCCTATCATCAGATCCTGATTTGATGGTAATGGGACCACCTCGGGAGCCCCTCACCACCTCACCTCTTTTGAGTTTTTGAAGCCGGTTAAAAAAAGAGCGGGCGGAATTGACTTGCACCTGGCCTGTAGCGAAAGGCTTTCCCCGCCAAAGGCCATCACGAGGGCGCAGCGTAGTTGTTGCGTCCACAATGAACACTTCATTAAAGCGTAGAGTGTCGTACCTCGCGATAGCCTTCGAAGGACTGGTATGTAGTTGGCTCCTGGCAGTGCTTTTTTCAATTAAAACAAGTTTTATTAAACAGGACGTCAGTCAGTTTAGCTAAAGTTGAATAGAAAGAAATTATTTTGTCTTTGTAGCAACTATTACTTTCATCCCTGCGTCAAATTTGGCTAATTATACCTAACTACTTCTATAGGAAACTATACCACTTATAAATAATTCCTTACCTCTTATTTCCTCCTCTAAGCTTTTCATAACTATCTTTCAATTGATTCTTTAAAATTTCTTTCCTTTCAAATTCTTCTTTTAATGCTTTAGCAGATTCCTTTAAGTTAGTTAGAATTTTTCGACACCGACTTCTCTCAGACTAAAAGTTTTTTAAAATATTATTAGTACATATAATAAACGACTAACCGATTGATGGTGATGAATAGAAATTATAACGATACTTACCTCAGATAAATCCATATCACTTCTCAGTTTATCAATTTCAACTTTTACACACAAATTTCTTGAGGTAAGTTCTTCACTCTTTCTGTGCAGCATGTTAATATTACTCTGAACTCTTTCTAATAAACTCTCTGACACATTTTCTTCGTCTATATCAGATATTCCAATATTGTTAAGAATATTTTGTACATTTTTCAAATCCGCTGCAGCCCTTTCATATGTTTTCTGAGCCTGTAAATACAATGAATTTGAAAATATATTCAGTTAGGTATAAAATACAATCCCTATTCCACGAAATTATTACTGTAAAGGTTTTTAATGTCGAATTGACAAACTATTATAATCTATGAAATCTATCTTCAGCATCACCCTTTGCCTGCCTTATTAAGTCATCAAAAACAGTCACAGAGTCAGCGCTGTGTATCTAGAAAAATAGCCTGGCAGTGGCTAAGTTTTTGACTACGATAGCAGCGCGAAGTATTGAATTATCATAATTCATCCAAATTTGAAGCAGTACTCAGTGCGCTAATCATTAGGATGAATCTGGCATTCATTTATATTTAATATTATTATTTTATATATATTATATTTATATTTTTATAGAATTCATTTATACACACACCGGCAGGAGGTCTAATTTGAAAACAGAACATTAGTAGACAGTCATTTTTTTCATTCGTTTGTTTTAATTTTTTCTTCATACATCTCTATCGACTGCTTCGAAGTTGATTTTCTGTTTTCGTAAAGTTCGTAAATTTCATTTGAAAAACATTGTATTGCAGTTTTATGAGGCTTTTGTGTTTTCTCGTTACGAGCATCTAAGTATACCTGATTTAACGCTATCAGAAATCATTAGGGCAAATGAAAGGAGAAGAAATGGTCAATCCTATAGATCGAATGCTACAAGACTTCGTCGATCGTTATCAACAATTCATCGTAGCATCCAACGGTACAGATTGACGAATTCTCTAGTGAGGATTAGAGGACGAGGCAGGAAAAGATGTACTTCAAAGAGAGATGACCGTTTTCTACAACTGCAAGTTCGTCGGAACACGAGGCTAACGGCGGTGCAGGCCCGAAATGTACTGAAGAAGGTTCGTGGAGTAAGAATAAGTGAGCGGACAGTACGCAGAAGATTCAAAGATCGTTTTCAAAGACAACGCAGAAGATCGGTATATCAAGGAGATTTTAAAAGAACATGTTATGCCATTTGCCCCCTTCATTGCCAACGACTTCATTCTAATCCAGGTAATAATGCTCGGGTTCACAGTTCTCGATCAGTTCAGGCATACCTACCTAAACCATGTTGGTGTAACGGTGATGGAGTGGCCAGCACGGTTCCCGGGTATGAATCCAATTGAACACGTTTGGGACTTGCTAAAGAGGACTGTCAAATCAAGAATGCCACCTACCAACAATCTAATGATTTCTTGGGGCAGAGTTTGCCGGCGTATTTTGAAATAAACATATATGAATAAACATTAATAAAAGTAAATAAAGTGGCGAGCGCGATTAAGCAAGTGTAGGGCGCCCTGAGGCACGATGGACCGACGACTTGAGGAAAATGGCTGGCAGCGGATGGATGCGCACTGCCAAGATCGGGATGGTTGGCGCTCTTTGGGGAAGCCTTCGTTCAGCAGTGGACGGCAATAGGCTGAAAATGATGAATAAGAGTAAAATAAACTACCTGTGAGTATTCCACTTCCATAACATTTTTCTCGCTCTCTAAGGTATCTAACTTTTGTCTTAAAACTATAGCAGTTTCTTTTAATTCCTTGAGACTGACATTTGAATCATGTGTCATTTCATGTTTTTCTACAGATTTCTGTGCTCTAGGAATTTGTTCTCTTTTATCGATATGTACCAAATCATTGGTTTTGTTTAGATTTTTCATTTTTAGTAGTTTTTCTATCACTTCCGCGTCAGTAAGATGTGTTTGGTTGCAGGTTACTTTCGTATCTGAAATAATTTTTGACATGAAACAAGGGCAAAAGTAATTTTTATGGTGCTTGTGAATATCATGGAGCCATTACTTTTTGTCGCAATTACCTACGTTCATACGTGAGCACTTTCGCTTCAAACTCTTATTCCTGATCTTTTATCTACCGTATTCTTCAAAGACGCTTTACGTTATTAAGGGAGGCTACTATTTAACCCTTACAGTGGCGGCCTTAGCCATTGCGAGGTCTTTGTCTTTGTGGCATTAGTTTAAATGGTGATATTTAAAACAAAAAATGCAACGCAACACATACTGCTGCTCGAATTTAAAAGCATAAGCCGACGACAGTGGACACTCGAAGCCTGCCAAAATTACACGTGCCATGAAACACGGAGAATCCCTGAACATAAATCGAGCGCGAGTAGCCAATGGCGTAAGGTGTGAAATAAAATAAACATATTTTCCTAATGGGCTTGTTGTGCGAATGCCCGAGGCCCCTGCATGTGCGAGGCCCTGGGCGATTGCCCTGCTCGCCACTCCTATAGGCCGCCCCTGAACCCTAAAACAAAGGGCGGCAGCTCACTTGTGACTCTTGAGTTGTAGATGGTCATGAGTAAAGGTGGTTGCTTACCATTGGGTGACCCGTCTGCTCGTTTGCCTCTTATACCATAAAAAAGGTTTTTTTTTCAGACTAATGGGAAAATTAGATTGCTAGGCACAGGCATAATATACCTAGCACTAATATTATTTTTACAATATTTTTGTGTCTCACCTTTTGTATAATAATCCCCAATTTTAACAGAATTCATTGTACAACAGGGAGGTATCCACATTGATTGAAGTTCTTCACCAATCTTATTACTGATGTCTTGTAAAAACAATGCCTTTCGGTTGGCAGATGGCACAATACTAGTAACCTGTTTACCTTCATTTGGTAATCTTTCTATTAAAAACATGAACACTTGTCTGAGTTCGCTTTCATTATGGTACAAGAATGTTTGATATCCAACATCATTTTTGTATCCTAAGTCCTGTGGACATCCAGCAAAACATTAACACTGCTATAGTTAAACCGCCGTAAGCTTGGCCCTCCTGATGGTTTGCGGGACGCGGGGCGGGTGATGCGCTCGGCTATACATGACACGATGTACTAACTCGATATCTTCAGATTTATTTGTTTGAGATTTAATCTACACACAATGTAATAAAAATCGAATTTATTTCCATGTATTATAATGTCAGTGTATTGTAAGTTTTTATGATTAATTGTAAAATTTAATACTGTAAAATAATTTTAATAAAATCACCTTATCTTCATCATGTAAATTATATTCAGATACAATTTAAAAATTAAGTAAAATAATAAATATTCTTTATTAGAACTTTAACAGTAGAACCTCTGTAAGCCGAACTTCAAGTTTTTAAATCTTTTTGTGATGCAGTGAGCAGTCGGCAGATTATCCATATTGCAAAATAATACCGTGTGTAGCAGTCTTAAGAAAAATAACACGTACAGCCATGCTTTCACGTCAGTCACTGCCGGCGGACAGCGACGCACTAGCTAATTGGTTGAATGTACCCCCGCCCCGCGTCCCCCAAACCATCAGGAGGGCCAAGCTTACGGCGGTTTGACTTATAACCTACTGAAGACTATAGCTATGGTTTACAATAAAATTGTAATGCAGGGTTATTCTATTGATATCAATGAGAACCCTAACAAAGACTTTTGTAAAAATGTAAAGTAGATAAGTAGTTAATGTATTATACCGTTCCCCCCGGTTTAATTATACATATAACATGTGTACAATTTTTTTTTTAATATATTTTCAAACATTTTATTGATGTGACTACAAAAATATGGAGGAGGAGGACATAAATAAGTCATTTCCTCAAAAACCTTTATACCGATGCCAATGGCCACGCGATGCTATCTCAATAGTGTGTCAGTGGTATGACAGTGGCTTGGCGTGAACATAAAATAGCAGAATTGAGGCCCTGTTTGTAATACCGCATATTTACAAAAGTCACAAAATTTACATATACATATATGACCAGAGATTTTGGTAAATTTCTATCACATTCTTACTAAACATTTAACATTTCATTGTGATAGCGCTTACACAGTCTCTGTAATTTATGGAGCGTAGGTATTATGTGATTTTGTTTAATTTCTTTTCTTGTTTCTCTGTTTTTTCTCTTTTTTTTTGTTTTCTAACCCATTTGCTTACAACAACTTCAGGTAGTTAACAGTTAACTAGAAGAGAAAACTGGTAATTGGCTTCTGAGATGAATGTTGTGTCATTCTTACTAATGTTCCTAGCTGTAAGATTTCCATGTATGAAATAAATAAATATCATGCAAAGGAAAAACAAACAAACTGACACCCAAAAATGTCTCTCATTAATTAAGATTAACAACACTTATTTCCTACTGTAAAATTTAGAAAATATTGATACATGTTTCTGCAAATTACTCTTATACACCTTTGCAATCTTCCCAAATCCCTCCACCATATTTAAGGTGGATCCAGCCCCATCTGCTTGTTTGCTCACCAATACCATAAAAGAACACAAGAGTTGAGGACATTTTGTACAAGTGACAAAAAACACAAGAGGTTAAGGACATTCTGTACAAGTGACAAAGAGATTAAGATTACAAAGGAATACTAAAAGGATAGAAGTTCTCAGATCATTTTTTTTTACCCATTCTGTAGATGCTCCACTTTGGTATTGACATACTTTATTATGAATGTTGAAAATACAAAATAATGAATGTGGAAAAATTTAATTGAAGATGAATTACCACTAACATTAATAAATAGCAAAAAGTTACTAATTTTACCTTACATAAAGATGCTACTTGTGAAGCAACTTCAATCCTATGAGAAATACCTGAGGGCAGCTTCTTTGATACTTTAACTGATGGGTTAATAGTGCTTAAGCATGTAGAAGCTGACTCAATAATTGTATGAATTGGTAGTTCACTAATGTTCTTAATATCATCGTCAATATTTCTGAAAATATACACAATGAGATAAAAACATATATCTGACACATACCATTACAGAACATTATTTCGCATTTAAATTACTCTTACATGTTTAGTTGACAAAGAAAATGTATAATGATGGAATCCACTTCCTCCATAATTGATTAAGTTCTATTTTGATATAATATGACAGATAGAAATCTGTTGTTTAATATCAATATTGTCTGCAGAAACCTGTATTCATCAAGAGTATCAATAGGTAACACACATTAAAAATAATTATGTTAAAATATTGCCTACAGATGATTTAAAGTAACACAGTTAAAATGTGTAATTCCTTTATATAAGTGTACTTAGTTACAGTAGGTTTTGTATTGATTAACAAATCGGAGTTAACTATCTCTTGCCCTTTATTATTGAATCAATGATATTACATCATTATTACATACAAAAAAAGAGGTAGATACGCCACCAACGCACAAAACGCGAGGGTACTAATTAGGACCACTGCGAGCGAGCACACGTACCAATTAATTCGAAAAAAATCATACAATGCATTCCTGAATATTGCGAAAGAACACAAATTACGACAAAAAGTACCTAAATAAAGATAAAGCAATATCAGACCACAGGTATAAGGTTTGTTTTAAAATGCATAAATAGACGTATGTACGAATATTTTGTGCGTACAGTATGAATATAACGTATCTAAAATATCATTGTATTGAATCATACCAATTCAGTCCAGATGATTTTATTTATCCCTAATGTGACACTATGTGTCAGTGTCAGACTATCACAAGTATGAAGTATCACATTCTTAATTCGTACGCATTGGAAATTTTTGGAAAATCTTGGCAAATAAATAAAATAATTGACCACAGAGTACAGTAATATTACTATATAGTAAGAGCGATCCGCCCCGGCTGCGCATAGGTGCAATGTAGATACTGCTGATATTACTAATTTGGTGTCAGTGTGGAGTAATTATTTATACTAATTATAATAGAACTATTTTTAAATGCAATATTTGTAGGCCCGCACCAATCCTGCCGGCCGCTGCCACCCGGGACTGATGTACGGCTCGATGGTCGTTTGGCCCCGCATTTTAAACCTCTAAAATCTTCTAAAATATTAATTTTAATGATATGTTATTAGAAGCAACTTTAATATTCATTAAACGCACAATGTATCTAACGTATTTAATTGGATAAGGAATAATAATATATTATTTAAAATAGCTTCGTAAGTAACCCATTATTGTTTTGTATTACCTAAGTTAAGTGGTTACTGTAGATTATCCATAGGAGATAGACATATACTATCCAGGACTTTTCTGCAGATCTTTTTAAGATATACAATTCCGTACTACATTATTTTGCTGTATCTCGTAAGGTTTAGCAAGCGTTTGCAATGTAAGCGCACAAAAACATGTTTTTTACAACAAATATTTGAAATTCTCAGATTTTCTCTGCTGTAATATATATGTATTGTACATCATCATCATCATCAACAGCCTTTAATAGTCCACTGCTGGACATAGGCCTCTCCTTAGAAAGGAGGTTGTGGCCTACTATACCACGCTGGCCAGACGGGTTGGTATAGGGTGTGTGTCAAGTTTTCCTTCTCTTTACAGTGCGGTTGTCCTGCGTAGTTTGCTCCCTTAGTCGGCTACGGGATGAATAGGGGTGGTGACCCTTCGTATTCTTAATCCGTCACCACACACACACGTTTTGTACATTTCAACCTTAATCTTGTATCACCCTCTCTATTCGTGAAAACCGCATTAAAATCCTTTGCTTAGTTTAAAAGATGTAAGCGTACAACACAAAAAACCGATATTATTTTATGCTGTTAAGATTTATAATTTAAATGAACATCTTGACCATATGTCGTCTACATATTTATGATCATGTATATTAGAAATTGGCACAACTGAATAATATGATTAGCGATCTACACGGAGCCAGCATCATGGTCGGTCTTGAAATGAATCTTGCTAAAACGAAAATAATGACTAATCACCACACCGCATCCATCTTCGTAAATAACATCCCTCTAGAGTTTGTAGAGAGTTACGTTTACTTGGGCAAACAAATTTCTTTTAGAAAAGATAGAAACAGGGAGGAAATAGATCGCAGAATATCAATAACATGGAAGAAATACTGGGCACACAAAGAAATACTCAAATCACATCTCAAACCGCCAATAAAGAAAATAGTTATGGATTCAGTGATTTTACCATGTCTTACCTACGGTTCTCAAACTTGGACTTTCGACCAACAAACTAGAAGCAAAATACAAACTACACAAAGAAGAATGGAAAGAAGCTTATTAGGTGTAAAATTAAAGGACAAGATTAAAAATAAGCACATTCGCAACAAAACCAAAGTAACCGACGCTTTAATTTTCTCGCTGAAAATGAAATGGAGATGGGCAGGACACGTAGCCCGCTACGATGACGATAGGTGGACCTTTAGAGTGGTGAACTGGCAAGGCCCTACAGGTCGTAGGGTTAGAGGCCGCCCATGCACTAGATGGACAGATGAACTGGTAAAGGTAGCAGGAGAAAATTGGATACACTTGGCTAGACACAAAGAAAGATGGAAATCCTTGGAGGAGGCTTTTACCCGTAGGGGGTCCATAACAGCCAAGACAAAATAATAACAATAGACAAATTAATTTAATGTAATTGAAATTATTTTAAAAGAATTATATTTATTAATCAGAATGTATGGTAATAGGCTGAATGGAATTAAATAAAGCTTTATTATTATTATTATTATTATTATTATTATATTAGAAATTACATCTCTTTACAAAAAGTATGGTATGCAGGTTAGGGATGGAAATAAATTAGTGCAAAAAAAGACGAGCATATTAATAAAACAAAAATCGAGTCCTACGTCAGTCCTGGGTGGCAGCGGCTGGCAGGATCGAAGCTAGTTATGCCAACAGTTAAATTATCTCTCCACCAGATTCAACATCTAAAACCACCAGAAAACCACTAACGAAAAACACTACTTCAATAGTCTCTAAATTTTCCACTGAACATAAACATTTTTTTAGTTATTACGAAAAAAAAACAATACAATACATATAATACTTATTTGTTTTACGTATGTTATAATAAATTGCATAATTAAAAAAAAATTGTTTCAACAAATCAACATACAAATAGTAAATCGACAAATATCAAGATCAGGAATATAAAAAAAATATTCAAAAATAATAGTTACTTATTTTAAATTAATTCGTCTTCTTCAGATGAATCGTTTTTGTCTGCACCATCATCGTCGGTTTCAAATTGATACGATTTGGGTGGGTCTCTTGCCGCGGGTAGGTGTCTTGTTGACCGCAGTTGTGCCCCCTCCCTCACTCCCCTAATACGCGGCGGAGCCTAGACATCCACGCTCAGATGCATGGTGTTCTGAGCGTGGGCGTCCAGCAGGGGATTCTCTAACGCTAGCGCAGCTGGGGGGTACCACTGGGGTAGACTGTTGTTCAACGACGCTATCATAAGGCAGGGTGTATTGGGGGGTTGGGCTCCGGAAACCTCACTAACTCGGTGAAATGCAACATGGAATTGCTTGAAGACCTGTTTTCTGTGAGGCCAAGGTACTGTATTTCCATCTCCTCCAACTTTCTTCTGATTAATTCCGTTGCGGGTTCCAAGACAGTTTATTTTTTTCCTGGGACTTCCCGAGTGTCATAACTCGATGTGTTCGTGGGTCACTGCTGTGGATCCTGGTGTACAGGAGTTACAGTGGTGGGCGTGTGGGTGGGATTAGTCCCTATAAAAAAAAGGCGTAGGTATCGCACCGGTCAAGCCGGTCCATTTATGCCGAAGCATGGCTCTCCCACGGTAAGGTTTTGGCCTACGCCACGCTGGCCAGACGGGTTCGTATAGGGTTTGTTTCAAGTTTTCCTTCTCTTTTCAGTGTTTTTGTCTTGCGTAGTTTGTACCCTTAGTCGGCTCTTACAACACCCACTGGATGAATAGGCGTGGCGACAATTCGTATACCTAAGTAAGTAAGTTTTGTTTTTCGTATCGCGTTTTCTTAATTTTTCTATTCCAAACCCTTAAAAATAAGCCTATAAATTTTGTATTGTGATCCTTGGTGATTTTAATATGTCAAATATTACTTGGAAACCGTTAGATGACGGATACACAGAGCATATAGGAATATTTAATGAGAGCCAGATTAGCTTCATGGATGTGTTAACGGTGTGTAACCTTAACCAATTGAATTCTGTACCTAATTTTATGGGCAGACTCTTGGACCTGGCGCTGTCTAATACTAGCCTAGAACTGCTTCCAAGCTCCCACCCTCTAGTGCCGGAAGATAGCCATCACAGATCTATATGTATTACTCTGTCGCTGCCTGCTCTTAATCTGCTAATAGACAATAAAAAGAAGATTTATCTGTATAAGGAAGGTAGGTAATTACAATCAGATAAACTCTAACCTATGTATGAATTGGAATGTGGTTTTGTCCCGTGGCTCAGTTGATGATACCACAAATGTTTTGACTAATAAATGTTTTTATACGACCTACGTGATAATTATATACTGTAACAGTTATTTTTTTGTACATTTGTTGGTCTTGTTAAAAGCTACATCTATTAGCCGCGTTGCATTGTTTTTAATTTATCTAAGGTAGTTTATAACTACAGTTTTGACT